ATGATCCACTTCCTCACCCGGCAATTTCCTGAAAAACAATCCTTATTCGTGAAATTATATTGTTACTGCACCCGATACCAATGCAGCTGCTACCTTACTAATATCACTACTCCTATGTCATTATCATGATAGCAGCAATGGCAATAATAAAGACGGAAATTACTGTTAAACAATATTATTCAAGCATGATCCAAAAGACATTTATGCCGGAGGTTTTGTAACTTCACTGAACTGGGACGTAGCAATCAATGAAGGATTTTTACATTATCACAACGAAGGGACCTAATTACAAGGCATTCATTCTCAAGTTGTAAGTTCATGAAAGTTTTAGTTTAAATCATATTTTTTTTTTCTGTTGCTGTAATCGTCTGATGGCAACACTAGTAAAACAGAACCACATATTGACAAAAGTAACTATAAAGAAGCAAATGTTATGAAAGTATCTAAAAGACAAATTTCCCAGCCTCCATCTCTGTATCGTAGTTGCGTGGACTGATAATAGATTACTATTGTAAACAGAAAATAAATAGCATCGCGCACCGGGGTAGCCGGTGCGATCATGCGTTTTGCGCAGTTCCGTCCAGCAAATGTCTGTCTGTTAAGGATTTTCACTGTCTTGTACAGTAAACATTCTTCCAAAACCGAACCTCTAATTTTCTGGCTTTTAGGTGATTTTCAAGCTAAAACTTTTATGTGGCCATGTGTGAGAACTCGACATACCTGGGAATTAAATTTGAGTTTGTATGGCCTCTTGCATAGGCAGAAAACATCCTCGTGAAATCTTCAGCCTCCTACCTCTTCTGGCTTTCGGACAATAATTCTTCCCTCCAAAACATTCACAAGGAAGTTGAGACCCGGACGTATGTGAAAGCCGAATTTGAATTTGCAGGTTGTACATGGGCAGAGGACAACACCCCGAAATTTCGGCTTCCCAGCTTTCGTGGTTCCTAAAATAATTTCCCCCGCAAAAACCTTCACAGGAACGTACGTAGTACCTAGACCTAGGGGGAGCCTGAATTTAAGACTGCGGAGTCGTATTTGGGCAGTAAACATTACCGTAAAATTTTAACTCCCCAGCTTTTGTGATTCGCGAGATAATTTCCCCGCCAAAATTTCCTTGGGACCATATGTGATACCCGAAGGCGCGGGTACGCTGGATTTAATTTTGCGAGTAGTTGCATTTGGGCAGTGCACATCGTAAAATTTCAGTTTCCTAGCTTCCTCGGTCCCCGAGATAATAATTTCCCCCACCAAAACTTTGGCGCTGTCATACGCGGTACCCACGAGTAAGTGAAGACTGGATTTAAGTTTGCGGGGTCACCAGTGGGTGGGGAACATCCTACCAAAATTTCAGCGTCCCAGCTCTCGTGGTTCCCGAGTTGAAAATGTGGGACAAAACGCACTCGGGCACATACACAAACACACAGACAACCTCGTGACAATATGCGTTTTGTACTGCTGTTATACAGCACGAAAGCATAATACGCCGAAGCAACTTCTGAATCACGACGTGCCGTTGCATTGGCCAAATTTTCGTAAACACAATCGCTAAGAGCTGGATATAAACGAATTCTGCAAAGTCAGTTCACCATAACTGACGTACATTCCCCACCAATCAATATTTTGGGTAGCCTAATTTGCGACATTCTGCTGGTTGTGTTTGAAACACATGAATAACTGCACATTTTCACGTGCACCCTACTGAAAGCTGAAAACGATTCCAAATGTATCCGGAGTTGGCCAGATAGGGAAAAGATACTTCAGTTAAAAAAAAAAAACGCTAGCACGAATTTACGACCTTATGAAAATATTCTTTCACACATTTAAGGT